TATATATATATATTTATATATATTTTTTTTTTTTTTTTTTTTTTTTTACTTAGGAACAGTATCATTAAGGTATAGTTTTAGTTCCTACAGAGCATTCAAATTCTTCATGCCAAGTGCCCAAAAGGCAAGCACCGGAGAGTCCCGACAGAATTTCATCTCTATCATCAGACTACATCTAGCTAAAGTTCCCTCCAGCTTTTCAGGAGAATCATGGCTTCTGAGAGCAGAAGCTTTGTGAATAGGACAGAGAACACTGAAACTGCCAATCTGAGATCCTTCAGGAAACTTTAGTAAAAGTTGTTGATCAATGTCTCAAAATACATTTGGCGTAGCAAAAATATATATGTGCCCCACCCCCGCAAAGAAAGTCCAGGTAAATTCGAGACCTCTTGTAATATATTTTGCAAGGTGATGTGGCATCGTTAGAACAGCATAAGACTAGGGAGTCCAGGGGTCCAGGGCCCTGGATTCCACTCCAGCCCCTTGGTCTGTCTGAGTCTTACTTTATTCAACCAATTCCTCTCCAAGCCTGAAAATACCATAACTAGATTTTATGTACTACTTTGTCCTTACTGTGAGATTTTGAGTTTGGGAAATTTAATGTAAAATCAATTTAGATATGAAAATGCATTCTTTATCTCTCTGAAATAGTCGATGCCATTTCCACCAGTAACCAGATGTCTCACTGTGACTCACCAGGAGGAGTGTTTGGCATTCATACTGATGATGACTTTGTAAAGGAAGGATTTAAAGGTCAAGCATGAAGAAACAGATTTAGGAAGTCTTCGTGTTTTTTATCCTAATACCCATCATTTTGGCCCTTACAATTTGAGAATATACAAAAGATGTGTTTCTTGACTTTACCAGCTATTAAAAGAGTGTGAGAGATTATGTCCATTTCTGTAGCAAAAATATATAATTGTTTTCTGAGAAAACAAGTACATTTTTCTAAGTCAAATCCTATTTATCTACTGACTTCCTTAAAAGCTCAAACAGTCCTTAGGGGTCACAGCTCCATTTATATGGATTAATGTACTTGCTAAGGAAAGGAAAATTAAAGGAATAGTATTCAAAAGTTTATATAATATTACTTTCATAAAATTATCATATATGGTGGCATTTTCACTTAAAATACATCATCCCTAATTTATTTCTTGATACAAAATTACTAATTTGTTTCAAGCAGGTCATGTTTCTCTGATTTTTGCCAAGTGCCATAACAAATAGCTGGCGTGTTGCACTCCTGTCCCTCCCCTGTGCACAGGGAGGTTGTGCTGGGTTTGGCATTGTTAGTGTAGCTGTGGACACAGCTGTAGGGTATTTTCCAGTGGTCAGTGAGGTAAGTCTGCTCTTGTAAAATAGAGACAAAGTACAGTATCAAAATAGAGAGAGAGCAAAAATTGCTTTTCTGGCCTTTTAACCCTGAGAAAGATTAATGGTTGTTTGCATTAGAAACTACCCTAATCAGGGACTGTTGCCTCCGGGGAGTGGGTATGAGAAAGGGGGCTATTCACCTCCGGGTCAACATTGCACAGGTTGCTGGGTCTCTGATGAGCAGCAACCCCGAGCTGAGACAGCTGCCCGGGCTCTTCCATTAAATGCCTTGTCCTCTGGGAGCTGTTGAGGAGGCCAGGCCACATCCCGCCATCACCATCACAATGGCCTGCGGGAGGCAGTCTCCAGGGACAAGTCACACTTTGAATGCGCAGAAATTGGCTCTTGAAGCCCTAGGTTGAATTACTGGCAGCTGGGGGTGGGAGGGTC